TATAAAATTGTGTATATATAGAATATAAAATTGTGTATCAAAATAATGCCCTTCAATAGTAAGATGTTGAATTCTTCACAGAACAACATACTTATGAAGCAAAGTTGCATGTTTGAAACAGCACTGAGTGGTGATTTCTTGGATGACTGGGAGAGACACTACTGTTCCTAAATGCTTCAAAGTACGAAAAAGTAGTCAGTTTAATTACCCCAACTTCTGTTGAGTGACAAATTCTGTCAGGCAAGATCCTTACAAAAAATTTCTGATTGGTCTTGCTGATAACTTTTCTTCAGAAGGTAGAGGAAAGAAGAAGAGGACCAGTTACTTTGAACAGTAATCCAGGGAAGACTTTGCTGAATAAATGGAAATAGCAGGAACATTGGGCCAATGTAATGCTAGCATTTTTTATATTAAGGGAAATTGAGTGTTATCAAACACATTTTTGGGACTTCACATTTATTAAAATAGCAGATTTTAATAAATTTAGAGCAATGACAAGTAGGATTCCATGGCATGAAAAGCTAATGGGGAGACAAGCTCAAATTCACTGAGAGTTCTTAAAAAATGAGATATTAAAGCACAATTGTGAACCATTCCATTAGGAAAACAACCAGAGGAGAGCAGAAAGAGGCCATATAAAAAGCTTAATGAATATCTGAAATCATCTGAGGTTAGCAAAGGATGCATGCAGTGACCAAAATGGTGTATTTAGATAGATTCAAAATAAAATGGGGAAAAAATCAATATACCCTTCAGTGTTTTCGTTAGTGACTTGTATAAATAGATGGGGTGTATGTTTATCAAATTTGTAGGTGACACAAATTGGGTGAGATAAATAATACTGTAAAAGCCAGAAATAAAATTTAAAACAGACATGACAGAAATGGACTGAAACTAACATTTTTCTATAGCAATAAATGGAACGTTCTCCAGTTAGAAAACAATCAAATACACAGGTAAAGGATGGAGGATGGAGGCACATGTGGAAAAATATTTTGGAATAGTAATAAAATGAGTATGAGTCAGCAGTGTAATGTGGCTACAAAACAGTCGAATACAATTTTGAGCTGCATCAACTGAAGTATAATTTTCAAATCAGGGGAAGCAGTTGTTCCACTTTCTTTCACCTTTGTTAGATTCTGCCTCAAGTGCTATGTCCAGTTTCGGGCAGCATACTTTAAAAAAGATTTTAAAAGGTAGGTTCAGAAAAAGGCAGTGAGCATGATCCGGGGACTGGGAACTATATCCTATGAAGAGAGATTAAAGGAGCTTGGTATTTAAACCTGAGAAAAGGTGATAGAAGTAGATATACAGGTAGTCCTTGCTTAACAACAGTAACTGGGACCAGAATTTCCATCATTAAGCGATGCAGTTGTAAAGTGCAAAATCACGTGACCGCACTGCTTAGCGATGGCATTTCTGGCGGTCCCTGGTTGCTGTCATTAAGGGAGGACCGCAAGGGACATTAAGTGAGGATCTTACATATCTGTGGCTTCTGACTTCCTGCTGGCTTCCCCATTGTGGGAAGCTTGTGGGAAGCTGGCAGGGAAGGTTGCAAACTGTGATCGTGTGACCATGGGATGCTACAACAGTCAGAAATCTGGATTGATTGTTGGGTACCCGGATTGTAATCATGGACCGTGGGGGCAGTGTGATGGCCAGAACTTTGAGAACTGTTTGTAAGTACCACTTGTTCAGTACTGTTGCAAGTTCAAATGCTCGTTGAGTGAGTGGTCATTAACTGAGTATACCAGGTATATAGACAGTAATAGCACTGTCTATATACCTGAAAGGATGGCATTCTTATTTCAGACTGTAGGTCATAGAAGAATGAATTTAAGTTATAGGAAGGCAGATACGAATTGAACTGAATGCTAGGGGAAAAAAATCCCTTACTAATAGTAAGAGCAATTGAACAATTGATCAGACACTGTGTGGGTTTCCCTTCATTGGATGAATTCAAGAGGAGGCATAATTTGGATTCCTGTATAGAGGGCAGGCGGTTGGACTTGATGGCCTATATATCCCCCTCCCCCCATATGAGTCTAGGTATAGAGACATTTGCATTGATGCACAAACTATTTTTCCTTCCTCCACAGATAAGCTATATCAGCACCATCATGCCAAGTCCTAAGAACAGTCCAAAGAGCATTCGTGAGAGACGGGCTTATGGCAGTAGGATAGAGTTCCTGTCACTGACAAATCAGAGAAGCCCAATATCCCCAGAAAATGTGTCTCATCGTAACGACTCTCCTACTAGTACTGGCCCTCAACAGGCTTTACCTGAAGAGGACTGTATGAAGCTGAATCCTTCTTTCTGGGGTATTGCCCTGCATTCTCTTTTGGCTGTTGATTTGTGGGCCTCTAAACAGCTGGGTGTGTGTGCTGGAGAGGATTCCTCATGGGGCACTGCCCGTCCACTCATGATGGTCATAGAGGTCTCAGGACATGGAATTCCTTGGCTAACTGGTACATTGTATGGGCTGTACAGAAGTGGCAGCTCAGCAGGTCGTGAGGTGCTGCTCAATCTACTCTTTGGTAAGAGCTTTCTTTGCCTTACCCAGTGGAGGTTGTGTTCCTTATATCTGTTATTTCTGTCACTTGGTGATTGGCGCAATGTCTGAATGATATCACAGAGAACTGATAGGGATAAGAATAATTCTCACCTTTCTATCTTTTGATTCCCTTTGTAGACCTTACATAGTAATGGAAATTCTCTTATATGCAGACAATGCAGTACTGCTCTCCCAGATTCATACTGGTTTAAAAAGAGCATTGTGAGCCTTGGCTGAATACTGCAATAGAGAAGCTCTAGAAATTAATTTTTAAAAAACCGAGATGCTGGTGTTCGTGAAATGCCCTAAAATGCATACCTGAAAATTAAATAATCATCCAATAGAGCATGTCAAGTAATTTAAGTATCTTGGAATTGCATTTCATGCCATAACCACATGCAGGCTACACATGGAATATGTAATCCAAAAAGCTCAAAAATCCATCACAGCCCTCCAAACTTGCTTCTATACCAAAGTATATTCCTGCTGCACTCTGAGTATATTCAGCCCAAGTTCGGACACAATTATTATTTGGTGCGTAGATAGGCCCCCCCAGGAAGGGGTACAGACTTAAGTTCCTCAGATCCTAATCCAAGTCCTGTTTGTGTTTCAAATGCGATCTTACCTCACAAGGCTGGCATTAGTAAGATTGAATCTAGTGCCTGGATACATATTTTCACATATTGGACTGAACTGCTTTTCTTCCTGGCAGATCTAACTCCTCAGATCCCTTCTGAAAAATTTGTTTTCTCCTGCACCATGGCAATATATAAAAAACTGGAACTTTGGGTTTTTTCCTTAACTCAAGTGCAGATGCTGGTGCAAGAATGTACAGTAGAGGCAATCAAGTAGTGTCTCAAGGACACTGATATTCAAACAGACTTGATGTCCCTCCCCGAAGACGTATTTCTAAGTAGTCCTCACACTCCCTATAGACCTGCTAGATTTTTAAATCAAATCACTGTTTTTTAAACTAAGAAGGGCCTTAGTACAATTCAATGCACTTCCATCAATGGTTTTAGAGGGGTGATACATGAGGGGATTTCATATGAATTCAGACTCTGCCCATGTGGTAAAGTAGCCATAGAAACCACCAAACATGCCTTACTGTACTGTCCATTTTATGCTGACATTCACTGTGAGCTGCTAATTCCATACCTAATTAAATATCCTAGTCACTCTGACCAGTTCTATTTAAACCTTTTACTTTCATATTCAGATGGGTCTATTTTGTTAAGTGTGGCCAAATTCTGCCATAAAATATGAAAGATGCACAGCAATTTGACTGACAAATCTGTTTACCTAATTAGCTAATCAATATCAATTTGATGTATCCAAGTGTTTTTATGGACTGGTCATTGACTGCAATAAGTATTCTACTCTATGTGTGATGGAATGTAAGGGTGACCTTGGAAGAAGGAGTGGGGGAGATGCCGCCTAGGGAATGATCAGATAAAAGAGAAAGTAATAGAGTAATAGCCAGAAAAAGAAACTTAGGAAGGACCCGCCCTCAGATGGTAAATACAGAGGATGGGAGATTTGTACTTTCAGACTTGCAAGATTCTGTTAATGTGGCCTTATGATAAAGTAGAATTAGCTCATCTGGTCATGCTTCCTGTCTGGTTTACCTGGGAGGCTGACAAATGGCACCTGTTCACACTTTAAGACATCCTTACCTGCTGTGGAAATGTGTGTATGTATAACTAGAAAACCATTTGACATAGGTCTGCCATTAATAAATCTTTGCTATTTAATACTGAACTTTTTTTAACTTTTGAAAAGTCATTAAAAGTCATTAAAAGATTGGAATGTGTTGTACACATTCGTTAATACATTCTTAAAAGAAAAGATTGAGACAGTCATCTTTATTGTGCTAATGAACTTCAGGCTTCCCATGTTGCTGTAAGATGAGTTTGCTGCAGGGGAGTAGAAAAAGGTTCTTGGAACTGCCACTTTTCTCAAGATTTGCTCTCTTATTTCAGTTTCTCCAAAAGATGCTACACTTTGACTTGATTAATTATAATAGTTTTAATGTTCTTGGCTTATTCTTTGATACATATAGGTATTCTACACAAGATAACTCATTTACTTTAACTGTTTTTTCCTCAGTGAGAATAGTGTAATTACATACGCTGTTGAAAGAGTACTGTGTATTGTCAATCATTTGTTGGCTTTGGAAAGCACAACAGGACTAAGACAATCAAGACCCTAAGGGTAATTTCAGATTTAGAAAAGTATTGAAGCTGAGTTAGGAGACTCCCTGAACTATGGATTGTAGGATGTTTTTTATTCCAAATTCAGTGGGCACTGAAATTATGGCACTCTTGGCATTTTGCAGGGCATACAAAGTCACCAAGTTTTTTGCACATTTTCATAGACAAGCTACATCTCAAGCTTTTGAACTGTTTAATGTATAGTCTTGAACCTAAGAGTCCTCTAAAACTGAGCAGAAGGCAGGGGGTTTACCTAAATTAGGTAACAGTCCATTTTGCCTCCTGGCATGTTGCCCGCAAAGTGGTTGAACTGAATGAGAAGAAGAAACATGATGGCCAAGATACTTTCCAGAGTTGAACTGGCAACAGCAGAAACAGACTGTGCTTTCTAAGGCCGCCATGACATGAGGAGTTGGTGATGGTGACAATTGGTTCCAACAGTAGAAAAAGGCTGTGGGAGACAAATGGGAAGAAGCAGCCTATTAATAGTGTTGCCTATTAAGGAAATTCCTGGGTAGTTTTTCAGTTGTAGCTGCTGGGGGACACCTGCAGGGGGGAGGAGGAGGAGGAAGAGGCAGTCAGGCAGGCTGGCTGGCCACACCACAATATTAGGGATTATGCAGACATCTAGGTTGTGCTAAGACCCAGCACTTCCTCTGTGTAGGGATAATGACAGCCAAAAGTACCTGGGCAGATGAGTGCTGTGGTATAGTGGACCTGGATGTGGAAATATTCATATACTACCTGGGTCAGAATATTGAGAAGTGTAATTTCTCAGGATTGGAGAGCTATAATTTTTGTGTGATTGTAGGCCTACAATATTGCTGCAAGAACCACACTGAATCCTGTTATCTGAGCAGACTTTACTAAAATTCAAATTCATGTGATTTGGGCATCTGAAAAGTGAATTTACAAGCAATACTATATTTGTTAGTTATTAAACTTTGTTATTTATAGTGTTGTTCTTTAAAATATCTGAAAGATCTTTTTCTGCCTTGTCTCACAGCTCTGATTCTTGATCTAATTTTGGTGGCGGCAGTAAAAGGACTGGTGAAACGAAGGCGCCCAGTCCACAACAAGATGGACATGTTTGCCACTGTCTCTGTGGACAAATATTCCTTTCCTTCGGGCCATGCTACCAGAGCCGCCATGGTTTGCAGATTTATTCTACGTCATCTTGTACTTGCCATCCCTCTGCGAGTGCTGCTTGTTCTTTGGACCTTCATAGTGGGAATCTCTCGGGTCATGCTTGGCAGACATAATGTAACAGATGTGGTCTTTGGGCTAATCATGGGCTATATGCAGTATAGTGTGGTGGAATATTTCTGGTTGTCACCTGTCAATGCTACTTTTCTCTTTGCCTTGTGGAATTGATGGTCCTTGATAGAATAGGACTATTTATCCTAGTGCAAACATTCATAATACTTCATCTGATCAACAAATTAAATCAGTAGAGCCAACATTTTCACAATATGTGTGGGCTAACATATATTTGCCCTGGAAGGCTTAATTCACAGAATAAAGGCTTACCAGACAGCAGGCACCCTTGCATGATTTTATGCAGTGCTGAGGACATCAAAACATAAAATGTATTAAGAATTAATTGTGTATGTTGGAGGGTGCCCTTTAGGGGCATTAGTATTATGTTGCCAAGTCTTCCTCATGATTTGTAAGTTAATTGCTGGACTGGAGTATGAACCAATGCATAAAACAGCACAAACCTATACTTTGGGATAACAGAACACTGGAACTGCTTTTGATCAGATCAGCCACTCATGCTATCCTTATTTTTATAGGATTTGTGGTTAGGTTAGAAACAATCACGTGAATTAGTAAAGTCAGTGTGCTTGTAGCACAATGATAAGACGCAACAATAATGGAAAATTATAGATGCTATTGTCAAACTGATTCTATAAATGGTATATATTCCAATTGGTGCTGATAGCTTTTGATATTAAAATAGCATTTCTTGTGGCTTTGGCTATTCTGACATATAAAGTTGATGGGACCTTTCCTGCAGAGTTTAAGAGTTTGCTTTATAAATCATATCAATTTCTTAGTGTAGCTTTTATCACAGATGCTTCCTATCTGTAATATAAATGGTAAAAAAAATAGGATTTCTAATTTTTTTCCCCAGAAATATTTCAGCTGCTTTAGGGAAAGGAAGAGAGCTATTTAATCGCACCATCAAAAGTTAGAAAGAAGAAAAATCTAGAATACCTCTGAAAGCATTCTATATGACAATTATATATTGCAGTGGTGTTAAGATATACAAACATTAAAAAACAGTTAAAATATTCTTAGGAGTAGACTTTGAGGATTAAGTTTTAGTTTAATTAATTGTGAGGTTTTAACCAAATTTATGAAAATTGCCATTATTTTTATTCTCAGGTAGCTTTTCCTTTCCATTTTATTTATTGAAAAGTTTAAATCCCTTTAAATATGACTCGAGAGATTTGTGCACAATATAAACATAGCTTCATACATGACATAATCACCTCTCAACAAACAATAAAAAGCAATTCAGAACAGCTATAAACATGGGAAGGCCTGAGTCAACACATTTTCAACAAATTTTAAAACTGGGGTCACCCTTCCTGTTCTCTGTATTCTAAAAGGTTCCACAAAAGAGAATGTCCATTTCTGTGATTATTCAGAAAATCATTTCTGAAGATCTCAAATGCAAGCCAGACATGTGTAGGGGAGGCACTAGCCTATGTTTATGGAAGCAATAGTCTTTATAATTTGAGACAATTGTTCTGGCTTATTCAAGTGCTAATTACATAGATTCCTCCTGAGATACTTATTTTTTAAAAAACAAAGTGGCATGAAAGTAATTTCAATAATTACAAGAGTAAGCCCAAAGTTGCTTATGGCCAAGTACATTGAAAAAGAGTGGTATATATTTTGTGTGTTAAAACAGAAATGTGAAGCTGCAAAAAAGTTGAAATATATTCAGTTAATAATCACAAATTTTATTCAGCAATTCACAAATATAAAATACATTGTATATAATTTAGCGCACTGAAAATATTTAATGAATTAAACAGTATAAATACTTTATTTAAAAATTGCACATATAACAGTTATTTCAAATAGTATACAAACTGCTGGCACTGTAAGAAGCCTATGCATACTTTTTTGCCGGCTGGTTGCGCAGGGACCATTCGAAATCCAAATTCAGAAAAACAGATTTCATTTCTGTATAGAAATTATTTATATTAAACAGCTGCAAAGTGCATTAAGTTATTTGTTATATAATAAAGGTTTCTATTTAAGCTTAATACATAGTACTGTACTAAGGTCTCCACTGTATTGTTACTTATTGTTTATGCACAATAGGAAAAAGAAAAAAGACAAGCTATTTGGTTTCTAACTTCTCCCTTCTTTATACTTCGACCAATTTGACCAGTTTATAGTTATTTATAAACATTTAGGGCCTGTCCCGTTTCAGGTTTCAAACTCACACATACACATACTCATAGTTGCTAGGTGATGGTAGCAATTTACTCAAGGCTGAGTATCTACTGAGCACCTAGCAAACAGCAGAGAAGCAAAAGAATGTAAATCAGAGTCTCTTGGAAATAAACCTTGCCTGAGTAGTTTTGCATTCAGCAGAAACACACAGAAGAGAAATCAAAATCCAATCCAAAATTCAAACAGCCAAATCAGGTTTTTCAAGGTTTCTTGTCCAAGCAGAATACACAGGAATAATACACCAGACATGGGAAATCAGATGAGAAACATAGTTCAGGAGTGCCTCTTAAATCAGACTGCAGCCAGCTGTCTTTAGTTCAGACAGTCACACCTTGCCTGGCAAGACCCTCATTGAGTATCTTTGCTCTGCTGTCTGCTCTATTCACCAAGTCTGAGGGCTTGGAGGCTGTAAATCATCATCTGACTGCTCCAGCTGTTCTTTTTTTTAATATATAACAGACTAAAATTTTAAGCAAAAAAGATAAAAACTAATATTTAAGATGAGGGGGAAAGGAAGGAAGGCAGGAAGGCAGGCAAGCTAAAACTGCAGAAGAAAAGAAAAACAAAAGAAATAACTT